ATGGGGTAACATAAAATGGGGATCAAGCCAGGCCATGTTTCAGTCCAACAACCCCAGGGAGAAAAAGACAGCTGTGGAGAATCCACATGCAGTTGGGGCTGGCAAGAAATGGTATTCGTTCAAGGGGTATGCAGTAAGCAGGTACTAGTTGCTGGCGCTGCTGAAGGCCAACGCGCCGATGTCGGGCATCGACGAGGTCCCGCATTTCGCGACTGTCGCAACGTACATGGAGATCTTGGGCACGCAGCCTCCTGGCAAGAAGCCAACGCCGATGATCGGCGAAATGGACTGGCCAGAAGACAGCCTCCCGCCAGCTCCCAAGAAGGCGAAGACCACCAAGGGCGTGAAGCTCGACGGAGCCTGTCGGAAGCGGAAGGCCCCAGCGGGCCTAGCGGGCGGCGATGGCCACGTGGACATCGAGCCCGACATGGAGGGCAAGGGCGACGCGACGGAAACGGAGGTGGAGGTGGAGGAGTCGTCATCGTCAAGCCTATCCTCTTCGAGCTCATCTTCTTCTTCAACGTCAGCCTCGACTTCAACTTCAGACTCGGGCGACTCCTCCGACGTCGCGGTTGGCGATGGCACCGACGACGACGGCGAGGGCGACTTCAAGTACCGCGAGGACGAGAATGGCAGCACATACTTTCGGCACATCAGCTTGTACAAGTACTTCCACAAGGTGTCAGGCGCCTTCAACGGCTGGAGCGCCTATTGCCACAGGTGCGGCCACTCGGTTGGCAGGGGCAAGTGCACGAATACCCAGACGGCGCACTCAGTCTGAGGGTCTGAGGGAGTGCAGCGGAGACTGCTTTGGCGGGGGCACCTCGGCGGCACGGTCCACAGCAAGGCGGCCCACAAGGACATGTGGGCGAAGGTGATCGCAGACTGGGGCGCCGACAGCATCCCAGAGCTCCCCGTTCTGGAGGCCGACGCGTGCCAGCAGTTCGAACAGGTGGCATGCTAACCAACAGCCACACATACACGCATATGCACGCACGCTCAAGCCCCCCAGTCTTTCTCTCCTTCTCCACCCTTACTCTCGCCAACGTCCTCTTCTCACGCGTCCACCTCGACCCGCTTCCGCTCCCCTCCCAATCGTTCCCAGGTGGGCGCGCTCGCGCTGGCTGGAGGAGTGCGCAGCCCGCCCGTCATGATGATGAGAAGAAGGATGATGAGGATGAGACGGGGCGATGTGCATGGGGGGGAGGATGAGGGAGAGACTGCTGCCGACGGTTACGAGGAGGAGTAAGGGAGGATGGGGGGCGAGGAAAGGCTTTTGCAACGCCCTGCAAGGGGGCGAATGCGGACGACGGGGATGAGGGCGATGAGGACAGATAATGCAGGTTTGGGAGCCATCGTGTGGGAGTCTCTCGAGGCAGAGGGGCCCCTGGGCCCCCTCCTCTTGGAGCCCTTTGGGGGGAGCCCCGCAACGGCACCCGGCGCCCTCCAGTGGAGCCATATTAGAGCCATCATGGTTCGGGGCCTCTTGGTGCTTCCTTCGGGCCTCTTGGGGCTGCTCGGGCCGCGTCCAAGCTTCCTTGACCGTCTTAACGGATATCCAGGAGGGCGCTCGCTGCCCTTCCCGCCCGCCGCGGCGGGGATCTCCGACCAGCTGGTGTAGCTGCTCGTCTTCCACGAGGTGCGGCGTCGCCGCCGCTGCCCTTGTGCCTCTCGCACGCTCTGTGACGTCAGTGGCCTTAGGACGCTCTCAGATGCCGGAACCGAGCGAGAGGTGATGATCGGCATGGAAACTGCATCCAAATACAGAAAAGACATCATAATAGCTGGAAGCACTATAATTCATCAAAAACTATCAAAACAGCCCCCCCTGAAATTCAGGGGGCTCGGGGAAACCCGGGGAAACTCGGGGAAACTCGGAGCTATAGAGAAGCCCGGCTGGGAAAGGCAGTTCGGCCCCCCAATTGCATTCAAACCCTGAAGTTTTGGGGTCCAATCGGGTTCAGATCGGGCTTTTAAATCACCAAGTTTAAAGCAACATCCATTGGAAAACCATCCGGTAATTGCAAAATCCCCCGGGCTTCTTTTAGCTCCGAGTTTGCAACTCGGGGAAAATCTAGGAAACTCGGGGAAACTCGGGGAAGCCCAGGAACCATTAATAATGCTAAAAACATAACTTTCGGAGAAAACAAACGCTATTCAGACACACCAAGCGCTAAACAACAGAAGCGTGCCTGAACACGCTCACCACGAGTTTAACAAGTCAATTACGGCGGAGCTGGGCGCAGAAGCACCAATGAGGAAGACGATGAGGAGATGAGGAGGAGGAGGGGGAGGAGGAGGAGGAGGAGGAGGAGGAGGAGGAGGAGGAGGAGGAGGAGGCCATGATAGCGAGAGCCAGTAGGAGGGAGGGCTGAGGGGGGGGACGAAACAGGAGGAGGGATGGGGTGGATAGCCCCCTGGATCCCAACAGACTCAGACAGCCCAAGAAAGAGCGTGGCCCCGTGAGCTAGAGGACAAGCTTGAGAAGAGGAGCGGCTCTTGCGCTCACCCATCCTCCATCCCATCCTCCTCCTTTGCCAGTGTTGGCTCCAGCTCCAGAGGCTTCCGGCCCTGCTTCGCCTTGTCGCGCTGCGAGCGCAGAGTTCAGCAGCTCAGCATGCTAGTGGTGCGCCCCTGAATGTCCAGGCAGCCTCAGAGGAAGAGGGCGGTCACGCTTCTGCGCGACGATGACTTTGCCAGGTTGGGGACTAAGCAGAAATTCTACCACACGCGCAGGTGCAAGGGTTCAGTGCCCCCAGGCCCAAAGACCTTGAGCGAGTTTTCGCTCTGGCCTGAAAGGCATTGGCAGGCGGTGGCAAAACGATTCGGCGGCGCCCGCTCCATTCAGCTCTGGTCAACGCTGCTTGGGCACGGCGCCATCAACACAGGCGACTACTCAGGCTGCGAGATGCCACGGGGGCTTTGTTGGCAACTATGTGCAGGGCTACGCCGCGCTTTCCCGGGCGAGCCCTGCGTTCACCACGTCGCGTTTGACTTCGAGAGGTCGTGCGACAACGGGTGCTTGGCCCAACGGACATTGCTGTGGATCGCTTCGAATCTAGATGGCGGGAGTTCATGCGCTTTTGGCGACATCGGGGATACATTGCCGCTCCAGGGCAAGGAATACTTAGATATGCTGATGCCCACCGCTGTCGAGGATGATGCGGCGCTGGCAAAGCAGCAGGCTGCGAAACGCTACGCTGACATGCTTGACTGGCTGCTACAGAACAGGGGGTGGCTATGGCAGAAAGGATCCACAACGCCTTACCTCTGCCACAACCAGGACTGCCCGACGAACCCTCAGACGGTGGCACATGATGAGTTGAAGCTACGCGTGAATTGGGCATGCAATACTTGCGTTGGTTGGAGTCCTGTATCTGATGGCGCAATGAAGCAGTTCTCCCACCCGTCGGAGCGAGTGAACAACGTCTGGATTGCCCAGGGGGTCCGATTCGCAGAGCTCGGCGAGGATTGCTTCTTCCAGGAGTGCTCTCATCGGTACCCAGTGCAGGAGAAGCTCGCTAGTCCAATGGAGCAATGGATCAAGGTTAGTTGGGTCCAATGGGGGCCCCTTCAACAAGGAGAACCGCACCGCCGCCCACGTGTATCCTAATTTGGGTGTTGCCGTGATCGGCCGAAGTGGATCGGCCCAGAGAGCCGCGAACATGTGCAGAGAGAGTTCGAGGACATCTTCGGCGCCAGAGTCGTCAGCAACGGCTCGATGCACATGCGCGCCAATCCTGAGTACCTGAGGAAGATCGCAGCGAAGAACTTCGCATCGCGTCACATTCACATTGGCAACTTGGATGATGTTCCGATCCACGGGGGTGAGATTTTCGAGACGTTGTGTCTTGGTAATCGGCAGAGGTATGCCGCGTATGATACTATCCAGAAGGTCTCGGGCGATGACCCTGTATTCCTCGCGGACCTGGACCACTGGCCGAACACGAGGTCTACTCACGGTAAGGAGTTCTCATGCCAGCTCAAGCATGGATGTGTCTGGTCCTGGGAGCTACAACGTGCCGCGGTCGGTTTGGAGCATCTTGCAGCCCAGGGGTTGCACGTTCTTAGTGCGATGCAGGGGCGTTACCGTAGCCCCATGCAACCATATTTCGAGAACTTGAGCGAGTGTTGCATCAAGGAGTTATCCGGCAACGGGATGTGCATCTCCGCGTTGGCTGCATGGGTCGTCTATTGTTTCAGCAATGCAGTGAGGGTCGAAGGGCCTAAATTTTTCGAAGAGCATGCGCTGGCAAGGCTGGCCGCATCCACCGCCTCGACCACATGCGTCGAGGATTCTTAGCCCGCAGCCGCCGTGGGCCCACCTGCCCAAGATCAGTCAGATGCTGCTGGCGACGAGGAGGGCGATCGGTAGAACTTTCGAATGTTGGAGGAAAAAAAGAAGATGGAGCTGAAATCATGATCCCAGTCGAAACTGACAGCGCCAACTCAGCTTGTGCCACTGCGGATTCAACTGTGGATCGCCCAGAGCCCCAATATAGATTCTGATAGATGGGCCGCAGAGGCCCGGGAGAAAGATAGTGGGGGAGGGCAAAGGGATCCTCATCATGCAGCTCGTCCTCCTTAGCCTCGTCCTCTTCCTCCCCATCATCCTCTACCCCGTCTCAGTTACCTGGGTTCACCCCTCTCAAAGGCAGCCGGGGCCCGACGGGGGATGAACAACGGCGCCGCTAACAAACTTCATTATTAGCGTTCTGTCGCAGAGGAGGAGGGGGGCATCCTAAATAATGCCATCGAACACCATGGGTCACCGTGGAGTTGCACCTTTTGGCTCAAACACTGGACTCCAGATCGTCGAGGCCCTTTCCAGGCCCGCCCGCGCCGACCTGCTACTCGGTCGGCGCAGCCGCCATGGAGGACAAGGAGGTGCAGCTCGTGGTCGCATCGGGCTCAGGCCATGGCGCTCCGTCGTCTACGGCCGCAGAGGAGGGGCAGCCACCGTTGTGGCGGACCTGGTAAAGACGTGCATCTGATGCGCCATGGCACGCATCGGCCACTGCAAGTTCTGCGAGCTCAACAAGCGTTACCACGACACGCTGGAGTGGAAGATGATCAGGGGCAAGGCGGCCGCGGACGAGACGAAGGCCGAGTGGCAGGAGCGAGCTGTTGAAATCGTTGCTCCAACATCTGCTGCGTTCGGGGACGGGCCGTTTGTTGTCGTTTATTGGCGGGGGTCGCGCGTAATGTTCAGATTGATGGTGACCACCCGCAGGAGACAAAACAGGACGACAACGCCATGGCTGAGAATATCAATGCGTTTGCTCAGGTGTCGGGGCCAACTTGGATGTTCCATCGGTTTGCGCGCGGGTTCCAGGGGGGCCAAGTGGCAGGCGAACGCGTGTCTCTGACAAGCGGAACATGTTCTCTGGGGCCCAACTGATCGAACTGGAAAACCGGGCCATTCTGGAGCCCTCAACGCAACCCGATGGGATATTCAAGTTGGCAGTTCGCGAAGGCGAACCCTGCTGACAAGAAGTACGCCAGGAAGAGCCTCATCCAGTCGAGCCAGTTTCAGAAATCCCACAGCAGCGACACATTCAGCACCAACAGGGACCTCGACAGGCCGATGACCAGACAAGCATTTCATTGCCACTGCCAAGACATCTTGGGCCTCACAGAGCTAGAGGAGTCAGAGTGGTGGCAGGAGCTCGAGGAGAACCCCAGGATCGATCGGGATAACAAGGGCTGCAGGGGTCGACTGCAGCTCTGGATTCCCGTCGGACCTGAATGGGAGCGGGGGGGCCGCAGGTCCGTCCAGAGCGCCTTCGTGGAGAAGGGATCGGAGCAAAAGAACATGTCTGAGAGCGAGGCCGCCTCGATCAAGGAGTTTGTCCAGGAGTCGTCTGCTTCGACTGCTGACTCGTTCTTCTCGAACAAGTTGGAGTTGCAGATAGTGCTGAAGAGGAAGGACGCCCTGGATGAGGTATCTGTCAAAAAAGAGTATGCCGTCGAGGCTGGGTCAGCGTCTGGGAAGAAGAGGAAGGTATCGCACAAGGTCTACGTGCCTGAGCGTGACTGCCCGAAGATCCACGCCAACATGGTGACGGATATCGCGAAACTCAACACCGCGTTCGCCGCCAACCAGCGCAAGGTCGACGACGTCACCAAGCGTCTGCAGTCCATCCCCGTGACTGAGACGAACGACGCTAAGCCCTTCGTATCGTACATCAAGAGTCTCCAGACTCGCTGGCAGCTCACCGTCAAGTGGAAGGGCCTGCACAATGTCATCAAGCTATTCAATCTCTCAGTGGACAATGGCAATGCCGCTTCGGCGTCGCCAGCACATAGTTATCCTCCGACACCCGGCTCGGGCAGCCAGCCCGCCCCATTGCCCGACAGTGACATGCAGAGCATCTCGTTGCTAGATCTCGCCGAGAGGGAGAAGGCCAGGAAGCCGTTCGCAGGCGACCCAACGAAGATCAAGTCGCTCAATGAGATGCACACGTTGTGCGAGGAAGACGTTTGAAATTGCAACACGTCGGACGAGCTTGACGACTTGGTCGAGACATGGAACGAGTGCCTCGCCATCGCCACTGAGCTGAATGCATCTGTCAAGACGACGTGCGGCCACATCGAATCTCACCTGACCCAGAAGAGGAAGAGACAAGAGCGCGAGGCGAGGGACCTGGAGAAGAAACAACAGGCGGATGCCCTCAAGAAAGTCAAAGAGGAGGCAGCACAGGCGGCAGCGGCGATCAGGGCCAAGGTCAAGCAACCACTTCAGCCAAGTGCCCTGGCGGTGAAGCCGATCTTCCTTGCGTCCTGGAGTCATGTTGAAGATGCCGATGCAGTCACCGAAGTGCCTGCCAACGACTCGATGAGTTGGAACATGCCGTTCGCGGTAAAGGAGAACGACGACATCACGCTCCTCATCGGCAGCTCCGGCATTCAGAAGGAGCTGACCGCGTGGGCGACCGAGTTCAGCAAGACCCAGGATCTGCGGGGCCAGAAGCATCTACAAGGACATGGGAAGGCGGCGGAAAACGGCCTGACTGAGGCCGCGCATTTCTTCGAGAAGTGGAAGCCACCTACGGTCGACATCAGCGCAGTCGATGGCGGCTCCGCCTTCGTGAACTCGATCTGGAAGCTGGGATTCAAGGAGGAGATGACGTGGACGGGCTTCACGCCTAATTGTGCCGCCCTGATGCGTCGTCTCGCAGCTGGCAAGGTTCACTGTCTCATGGTGGACACGACGACTGTGTTCGCCACCATGCTCAAAGAGGATTGCCCAGAGGTCATCAAGAAGATCCACGCGCCTGGCGATGTGGCAGCAACCATCGAGGCGTTCGCCAACCTGGACGACGACGGCGCGAAGCAGGCCGTGGATGCTGGGATTACCGCTCGCAAGACAATTCAGGTCGCCAAGAGCTTGCTCTACGCGCCGATGGGCTGGATGGTCGCGGAGATGTGCCTGAAGGGGGAGGCGCTGAACTACGGGATCCGCAAGAGCACGATCGTCATGACCGAGGTGTCCAAGGAGCACTTCGACCAGGCGACGAGGCTCTTCATGGAGATGAAGAAGGACACCTCGAGGATGGAGGCCATCCTCGCTCTAATCTAGAGGCGGCCTGCTACTGTGCGCGAGCTGCGCGATCAGCAGGGGAGAAGATAATGGGGGGCGGGGGGAGGGCGGGGGAGGGGGGAGATCAGATGAGGACTTAAGTCGCCTGCGCCTTCCTTCGCAGGAAGGAACTCTTGTTGAGTTGATGCCAGTTGGGGCGCTGCTGGCAAAAGGATGTCCCTGTGTCCTGGGTCCTGGGTCAGCGTGAGTCTTTGCTCCTTGGAGCCTCCGCGGTCGCCACGCTGCGCGACGACCGCAAAGGCTCTAAGGAGCAAAGAGTAGGAGGAGGAGGAGGAGGAGGAGGAGGAGGAGGAGTCTCTGGAGTCTCTGCCTGATCGCATAGCGATGTTGGGGGAGGAGGAGGAAATGGAGGACGGATGGGATGGAGTCGAGTCGGATGGAGGAGGGAGGAAGAGGGGAAGAGTAGGAGTGGGTTCAGAAGGAGACGGGATGAGAGGAACAGGAGAAGTGACAGGATGAGGAGAGGAGGGGGGGGGAGGGGGAGAGGGAAGGGCGAGGGGGAGGGGGATTCCCCCTGCGCCGCAGGCCTGAGCCCGGCGACTGGCCGGAGCCCGGCGACTACTGGACTGGCCCGAGCGGCCAGCTCTCGGACAAGGGCGCGGGCCGCTGCCCCCCTCCTCCTCTGTTCTGGCCCTGCTCGCCCGCTCTTCCTCCTCCCCCTCCTTTTCTCCCCTCTTCCTTTTTTTTGGGTTCCTCATTCCCTCTCCTCTCTTCCCTATTCCTCCTCCCCTCCTCCTTGCATGTTGTTGGCTTAGCTGACGAGTCAGAGCGCCCTGGGATTTCACGTTAACTAAACCGTGCTGCTATCACAAGCCCCACTGGGACTTGTGATAGCAGCGTGGTTTAGTTCACATAAAATCACGAAGCAAGCGCCGAGGGAGGAGGAACTTGGGACACATACGATGCGCATGCATTTCAACGAACGCGCACGCGCGAAAATGATGAGTGACATATCTAACCACACACAACATCTACATATGATACGGCAGAATCGCCAAATACGGTAATACTGAGGCACGCGCTGAAACTTTCAGGCGCTCACACTCGTTTTATCATAATATCGTTAACTGTCATGCGATTTCCTGGTACGAGTATGTGGAATTACCTCAATTGAGGTCATGCCACATACTCGTACTCCTTTCTCCTTGGGTGGGTCAAAACCACCCACTAAGCAGGGCCCGAACGGGCCATCGTGCAAGTCACCAGTTCACTCAGGCGTGCGAGACCACACCCGCCCTGGTTCGCAAAAGGGGCCCTCGCCTGAACGGCAGGACCATGAAATGCAGGTTCTTCAAAGGTTGTTGTTGTGGTGAAGAGTACAAGCTGTAGGGACTTATGGGGGTGGGGCCTGGGATGGAAGGGTGTAAGTGCAGCATCGTTCACGCATCCTGGGTTTACTCTGGTCCTCCCTTTCCCCCACGTCGTCCACCCTCTACTGTCTCCGCCACGACTTCATCCTCTATCCTCCCCTTCGTCTCCCGTCCCCCCTCAACCCCGTCTTCGCTATCGGCCCTCTCCTCTTTTATCTCCTCCTCCCCTTCCTCATCCTCATACTTCCATTATTCGTCCACCGTTGCCTCCCCCTTGCCTCGTATCACCACCTCGTGCCTCATCCTTCTCCCACCGTCTAGGGGACGTTAATTCCAGGATTCGTGGGAAGAGCATTGGAGAGACGTCCTGGTGCATGGATGGCCTTTGACTTGTCGATCACCCACAGTCTGACGATGCTCAATACACCATGCCGCAAGCGATTAACCGCAAATGTTTCAACTGTTCCATGTTGCGGATCGGTAGTGAATTTAAAGGGCGCTTCCTCCATGTGTACACTTTTCCTCGGCCGCGGCCTCGTTTTTGGAAGGCCCTCTGTGCATCGAGACGGCGGACCGGAAGGTTCTTAGCGCTTGGCGGTCTACTCCCGATGTTCTTCCCCGTGCTCTCCGATTCCGGCCCCGACCCTTTTTGTTCGGCGGCGAGCGAGGGGGGAAGTGAGAAGGGGCGGACTTTCTCGGAAGGCTCGGAAGTCCCCCAGCCTCCTGAGAGGTTTTCTGAGCCTTCCCCAAAGAGAGTCAGCAGGCGCGGGGTCTTGCGAGAAGTCCCGTCGCCTTCTGAGAAGGCCTCCTCCTTCTCGCCTCCCCCCCCTCGCTCGCCGCCGAATTCTGAGCCGCAAGGCCACCCTCGCGAGCAGCGACTCCGCCCTGATGCCGGCGGCCGGGGCGCTGCCTCGCGACGCCCAGCATCCACCACCGGCGCCCTGCCGCTGCGCTGCCGACTTTGGCCGCCTGGGCGGCCGGAGCGGGGCCTGGAGCGGAGGTGCACCTGCTCACGAGCTGGTTCGTGCGACTTCAATTCATGGGAGCCCCGTGGGCCCTCGCAGGTCCGTCTTTGGGGTGCACTAGCGGCGATGAGCGTCTGGCAGCCGATGATCTAGCGTCCATTTAGCGTCGATGAGCGTCGACTTAGCGTCGACCAGCGTCGACTTAGCGCCGATTCGCAAGAGCCAACAAGAGGGTAGGAGAGGCTCCCATGAGTTGCCACCGAAGGTTCGCTTGCGGCGGCTTGGACGGCACCGCTGGGTCGCTTGCGCGGGCCGTCACGGCGGCGATGGATCCGGGCGTTGGTGCTCAGGAGGGGAAAAGGTACCAATATTGCTACCCTGGCCCCGTTTTTTCCCTTGTGGGCCTCCTGGGAAGCCCTGGTCGCCACCGCCGGGTTCGCCTCGAAATTTTGGCCAGAACGCACCCCAGCAGGGGACCGTGGAGTACCATGAAGTCGGGCGTGCCCCTCTACAGGGGGTATTTTTTATTTTTCGTCCAAAATCTGCCTGTAGGGAGACATGCCCGACCTAGGAGTGCCAGTATCGGTACTTTCTGATTTTCCCAGGTGCGCAGTGGTCGGGCGCAGCTGGCGGAGACGGCGCTGCGTGCGCCGTGCTCGGGGAGCTCGTGCAGCACTCGTGGAGGAGCGCTGCGGACGCCACCGGCCTGGAGGACCCGGGCGCGCCTGTCGCTACACTCGGGCCAGACGAAAGGGGGGGGGATTGGGAAAGGGGGGGTTACGAAATCTGCTGCATGCAGCTGGTTTCGGCCCCACCAAGGGGCCCATTCCTCGATACATAGCCGCCGCCGGCGCCGGGAGGCACCGGGAAAAGATCTGATTCTCAAACCCCCCCTTTGCTGTCCCCCCCTTTCGCCTGGCCCGATACACAGCCCGGGGGTCCCGAGCCGGCGCCCGAGCCCCGAAGGGTGGCGTTGTGAGGTCGTGGCTCGTCTACGCGTTGCTGCAGCAGCAAGGCAGCGATCCGCACACGATGTCGTCACGATGTCAGGTTGCTGTTGGCAACAGTTTTGTTGGTCTTGTCGCTCGAATCAGTGCGGAGGGGGGTCTCAGTGGAAGGAAGAAGTATACGCGAGTGACTTTCCCAGGAGATGTGTAGTGGTATGTGTGTATGTGCAGGCTGATTGCAGCTACAGCGGCTGGTGTGTTTTTGTTCACCTCGACCTCTCTCGTCGACCTCGGACCACTCTGGGCCTCCTTCCCAGGGGCAGGAGGGGACAATAGCGCACCAGACCAGACGCGAGAGTACTAGCATGAATGATGCATGATTCAGTGCCGCCGCCATCTTCGCCCTAGGAGCGCCAGAGTGGAACACGGCCCCTCGGCCTCGAGGAGCACACGAGTTGGCAGCGGGATGGACACAGGGCAGAACCGATGAGCTGCATTGATTTCTGCTGCTCGGTCGGAGCGGTTTCGCGACAAGTTGGGATCGTTCGTTTTGACGTGTGCACCAGCGCTTTGCTCGAAGAGCTGCCGTTCAACCTGTGGGCGCAGGAGGAGGGGGAGGAGGAGCAGCAGGAGGAGGAGGAGGAGGAGGAGGAGGAGGAGGAGGCAGCAGGCGCAGGAGTAGGCAGCAGAGGAGCAGGAGCAGGAGGAGGAGGAGGAGGAGGAGGAGGACGCGCACTCGAGAGTTCTCGGGTAACGATCGTTGGCAGAGGCGAATTGCTCCCAGTCAGGAGAAGAGTCGGGGGGGGGTTGTTCCCAATAGCGAGTACTTCCTGGGGTTGGCTGGTGATGTGGGGATGAGGGGCAGGCAAATCGTTGCCAAGCTCGTCCTAAAATGTTGGGTTGCCAGCAGTGTGGTGAGAGACCCTCTCTGAAATGAGCCCGAGGTCTTCCCAGGGAGTTGCTCCTTCGGAGGTGGGGGAGGGAAAAGGGGAAAAAAGAGAAAACAGGAGGAGAGGAGGAGGTGGATGGGGAGGGGGAGGGGGATGAGTTCCCTTGGCGACGGCGCTTCCTTTGCTTTTTTGGCGCTCGGCCTCTGCGGGCCATCGCTGGGCCCCAGGACCGTTCAGAAACTCCAGTTACTTGACGGCCCTCGGGCCGGCTCTGCATCCTGAGCCGACTCAGGATGCAGAGCCAGCCCAGGAGAGCAGGTCGAGACCTCTGGGGGTGGAAGCTATGGAACAAGCACGACGTCGGGGGTCTGGGAGGGTGAGGTGGCCTCCCCGGGGTACGGGGCGGCTCTCTTGCGGGGGGATCCGCAGGCTTCCGGGTCGGGCCCAGGTCTGAGGTCGCCCCCGGCCGGCCCGAGCACCCGAACGTGGGGAAGGACCTTGAGCTCAGACGGTGCGAACAGATTTTTCACATCGCGAGCAATCACGACTGGAGTCCCAGACACCATCTTCCTGCGGCACTTTTCGAGCCGGATCGATACGTGATGGTCCCGGGGGCGAAATTTGGCGACAATGCCTGGGGCGAAAACCTTTGCTTTTCTCCATTCGGCGGTGCGCCCGGGGGGGCAAGCGAGGAGGAAAGCGGCCTTCTCAGAAGGCGGCGAGGCTCCTCAGAAGACTGGCGGGCCTGCTGAGAAGCTCTCTTTCTCTTCGTCTTCGGGGAAGGCTCAGCGGCCGCCAAAGCCTTCTGGGGAGGCCCGGCCCCTTCGGACTTCCCCCCCGGCAGCTCGCCGCCGATCCATGCGCTGG